AATTCAAGATCTACTTTGAGCGCAGGCGCCACAACGAGGACAGTCCCACGGCCACCATCCTGGTGGATTCGCTGACGCTGATTCCACGCATAGAAGTCACCCCGATCTTCACGGGCTCGCCCATGGCGGACCTGCGTCGTCGGGAGTACGCCAAACACAACTGCAACCAGTCGCTGTACGACATCAACTACAAATCGGATCCCGAGTGCCGGGACCTGGACAACTACGTGAGCACCTATGTCCATGACGGTGCCAGCATGTGCAACTGCAACCCGACAGGCTCCTACTCGAAGGTCTGCGACTCGAACGGTGGCTTCTGCCACTGCAAGCCGAACGTGGTGGGACGGCAGTGCGATCAGTGCGCCCCGGGTACCTATGGCTTTTCGCCGGAGGGATGCAAGGCCTGCGACTGCAACAGCATCGGGTCGAAGGACAACAATTGCGACTTGATCACCGGCCAGTGCCAGTGCGTCCCGAACACCTATGGCCGGGAGTGCAACCAGTGCCAGCCGGGATACTGGAACTTCCCCGAGTGTCGCGTCTGTCAGTGCAACGGACACGCCGCCCAGTGTGATCCCCTGAAGGGCACTTGCCTCAATTGCCAGGACTTTACCACCGGCTACAGCTGCGACAGCTGCCTCGATGGCTACTACGGCAACCCGCTGTTTGGCAGCGAGATCGGATGTCGCCCCTGCCGCTGCCCCGAGACGGTGGCCAGTGGCCTGGCCCATGCCGATGGCTGCTCTCTGGACACGCGCAACAACAACATGCTGTGCCACTGCCAGGAGGGCTATGCCGGTGCCCGCTGCGAGATCTGTGCGGACAATCACTTTGGGTCGCCGGAGAACGGCGGCACCTGCTCGAAGTGCGACTGCAGCAACAACATCGATCCGTACGACACGGGCAACTGCGATCGGGAGACGGGCTCCTGCCAGAAGTGCCTCTACCAGACGACCGGCGACCACTGCGAGCTGTGCCGCGACGGTTTCTTCGGGGATGCCCTGCAGCAGAACTGCCAGCAGTGCGATTGCGATTTCTTGGGCACGAACAACACCCTGGCCCACTGTGACCGCCACTCGGGCCAGTGCCCGTGTCTGCCGAATGTCCAGGGGCTGCGCTGCGATCAGTGTGCGGTGAACCACTGGAAGATCGCCTCCGGCGAGGGCTGCGAGGCCTGCAACTGCGACGCCATCGGTGCCGTTCAGGAGCAGTGCAATCCCTACACCGGACAGTGCAAGTGCAAGCAGGGATTCGGCGGCAGGGCGTGCAACCAGTGCGAGGCCCACTACTGGGGCAATCCCAACGAGAGGTGCCAGGCCTGCGAATGCGATCAGTACGGGGCGGCGGACTTCCAGTGCGACCGGGAGACGGGCCATTGCGTCTGCCACGAGGGTATCGGTGGCTACAAGTGCAACCAGTGTGCACGCGGCTTCATTGGCCAGTTCCCGCACTGCTCGCCCTGCGGCGAGTGCTTCAACAACTGGGACATCATTCTGACGGCCCTTGAGGACTCCACGGAGGCCACCATCCAGCGGGCCAAGGAGATCAAGCAGGTGGGCGCCACCGGTGCCTACACGGCCGAGTTCAGTGAGCTCGACAAGAAGCTGCAGCACATCCGGGACCTCCTGCAGAACACCTCCGTCAGCCTGGAGGACATCGACCGACTGGATGCCGAGACGAATGGACTGAAGCAGCAGCTGTTGGCCTCCCACGGCCGCCTGGCCGAGACGGAACGCAACCTGGACGAAATCTACAATTCGCTTAGTCTGTCTGGCGTGGAGCTGGAGGGTCTGCAGAATCACTCGCGTCTGGTGCAGCAGCTCTCGAAGGAGCTCAAGGAGAACGGCATCCAGCTGCAAGAGTCCAACATCGAGGGAGCCCTGAATCTCACGCGGCACGCCTACGAGCGGGTGAGCAATCTCTCGACACTCAAGGACGAGGCGAACGAGCTGGCCTCCAACACGGATCGCAATTGCAAGCGCGTAGAGACGCTGTCCAACAAGATCAAGGACGAGTCGGATGCCATTGCCAACAACGACAAGACCATCGACGACTATCGCACGGAACTGAGCTCTCTGACCGCCCAGATCCCCGAACTGAACAACCAGGTGTGCGGCAAGCCGGGCGATCCCTGCGACAATCTGTGCGGCGGTGCGGGATGCGGCAAGTGCGGTGGTTTCCTCTCCTGCGAGCACGGCGCTCGCGCCCACTCGGACGAGGCCCTGAAGGTGGCCAAGGACGCCGAGCTGGCCATCACCACGAAGAAGGATCAGGCGGATCAGACCATCCGGGCGCTGACGCAGGCCAAGCTCAATGCCTCGGAGGCATTCCAGAAGGCCAAGGCCGGCTTCGAGCAATCAGAGCGGTATCTCAATCAAACGAACGACAACATAAAGCTGGCCACCAAGCTGATCAATGCCGTCACCGACTTCCAGGAGAACAAAACGGCCTCGCCGTCGGAGAGCAAGCAGCTGGCGCAGGATACGTTGCTGCTGGACCTAAAGCTGGACCCCAAGGAGATCGAATCGCTCGGCATGAAGATCAACGATGCCGTGTCCTCGCTGAAGAACGTCGAGTCCATTATCTACAAGACCCGACCGGACTTGGAGCGTGTGAATCGCCTGCAGAGCTCTGCCAATGCCACCAAGGAGACGGCCAACAAAATTCTGGAGGCGGCCAACTCTGTGGTGGAGAATCTGGCCGCTGCGGACGAATCGCAGGGCAAGGCTCAGGATGCCATTCAGCAGGCGAACAGCAACATTGAGCTGGCGGCCAAGGATCTGGAGAAGATCGACGAAGAAACGAATTCAGCCGAGTCGCCGGCCAATCACACCGCCCAGCAGGTCGACGAGCTGGCCAAGAAGGTGCAGCGCCTGCAGAACAACATCGTGAAGAACGACCGCGACGCGAAGGAGATCACAAAGGAGGCCAGTCGCGTCAAGCTAGAGGCCATGCGCGCTCGCGGCGAGGCCAACAATCTGCAGTCCTCGACCAGTGCCACCAACCAGACGCTCACCGATCGCGCCAGTCGCTCGGAGAACGCCAGGGAGCGGGCCAAGCAGCTGCTACAGCGCGCCTCCAAGCTGACGGTGGACACCAATGCGAAGCTGAAGGATCTGAACGATCTGCAGTCGGTGTACCAGATCAAAAACCAGGAGCTGGGCGAGCTGGAGGCGGCCATTGGACCGCTGAACGATCAGTTGAATGAGTTTTTGCGGAATATCCAAGATCGGGCCGTTTATTATCGGCAGTGTTAGAGGGCGGGAAAAGTGAGTACCAAATAATCAATACTCCCATTGATCCAGCGATAACCAACTCGTTTTCTTCTTCTTGCAGCCTCCAGCGGCCATTTCAATTGCCATATTCATGAACAAATACGCGAAATGCGAACTGCGAAATGCAAATAACCAGAATTACGAAAGGAATCAAAGCAAAGGCAAACAAGTTATTATGAAACACATGTTAAGTTACCGTTACGTTCTGTACTCTAAGCAAAAACAACTCTGCAATGCTAATTTTAAATTGAAAACACACACAGGAAAATTCAAGAAGCCCTTTTAATGTGTACACTCTTCTTATTCTATACCTTACAACACTTGTAATGCAATAAATGTAATTAAATAAACTACTTAGATGTGGATATTGCATTTGAGAGAGAGAGGCAGGGCAGCATTGCAATAATTGAGAGACTATCCATCATTACGGAGTTCTCTCATCTCCGTTTCGTTTGCCGTTGTTTATTCACGGAATTCCGACATGCTCACAAGGGGGGCGTCTTAAGCAAATATTTGGCATTACATTGTTTACAAATTGCATTATGTCCAAAAAAGTTTCAAATTGTTTAAACAATACTACTTTGTCAGATTTTTTGCGCTTTTATTGTTCCAGTTTCCGGGCACACTACAAATGCAAGCAACATGCTCACTAGCAACATAGGTACGCAAAAATGAGAGTTCTAGCAACATGTGTCAGCAGCATGTCTCAGCAACATGCAAGTAGAATTGCGCCAAAATAATGCTTCAGTGGGTGTTTGTTTTCTTTTGCTTAAACCTTATTTTATAGGCAAAGAAGTGAACGGGGTCGTTAAAATTTGTCAGTCTGGTAGGGAAATTGATTCATTAATCGGACAAAAGTGTGTGGGCATGCCTTAATGTTCTATCTAGCTTATAATATTTGACGGAACATCAAAATTAGGCAATATGGATTCCAATCATTAACGAAGAACGATTAACCCATTATAGGCCAAGGGGGTATTTCAATTTACCACCAAAAATAATGAACATTTAATCATTTTAGCGCAGTTCAGGTGAAAGTAAGCGTTTTTATTTTGAAGTTCAGATGAAAGATGGCATGAATCTACAAGAAGAATTTACAATCGTTAATCTTTTCCGACATGTTCCTGAAGAAGTTGAACTGTTTTAATATAGGGGGCTTTAGGGGGCTAAGACGCTGCCACCGCTGTTTCACGGTTATTCTGTGCTTCCCACCTTCTTCGCATTTACAGTTAGTAGAGCCACAGCCGCCGCGAAAAATGAAACAGCAGAAAAGTAGTGTCGAATTTTATTTCTGAATTCAGAAAACTCTGTTCATATATACCACAAAAATATCCAATATTTTGCAAAACATAAGAATAAAAAGATTCATATTCAAGCATCATCCCTAAACAAGTTAATTGCCTCTTTTTTCGTGTTTACCGCAATTTCACCTGATTTCGTCTCGTTCGCACGCACGTGGATGCGTTTTTATGTTGTGCTTTGAAATATATCCAGAAACAACGAAGAAATTAAGCAAAAAACACAAAAATGTAACACAAAAACCGCGCCATAAAAATCAATAAGAAAAATGGAGTGAGAAGCCAGTGGAAAAATAGTATAAATAATAAGAAAATAACCGTGGAAGAGATCTGCAATTTTGGAATTTTGTTTCAATTTTAATCCGTTTTCTCCGTGTACGTGTGCATGTGTGTGTTCAATGTTCGTTCGTGTGCTTCGTGGTTTTACCGTTACAATTCCGAAATATCTTGAAAGAAAAGAAAAAATGAAATGAAATATTGTGCAAAATAATCAAAGCCTATGAAGAGAAGACCAATTATTGTTCATTAACAAAAAGGGAAAAACAAATGGTGTTTTCGCTCTACCTTTTGTGCTCGTGTTCTCGCAGAAGAAATCTTTGAGCGGAACTGCAGAGTCCGAAAAAGCAACAAAAACCCAATAATTAACAACAAAAAACTACACATAATAAATCATATAATCACAACTATATAATTAATTAACTAACTGCAAAACCCCTTCACCGATACATCATTTATTTTGGGAGCCACCAAAAAGCCGACGGCTTTTTGCTTTTGTGCGGACTGTGTTTTTGCACAGCGAATTTTCTTATCTCTGGAAAACAACAACAGCAACAGAAACAACAACAACGACTATGGCAAAGGTAAAGGTAAAGCCTCAGCTAAGCTCTTAATTTTATTAGAAAATTATTTATTTATGTGAAAACCAAACAGCTGTCAGAAGAACCACTTCACCCACCAGCACTCTCATTCCTTTTTATCGTGAGTGATTCGGGATAATGGGAAAAATGTGTAGAAAAGTGTATGAAACTTAAAGATGTTTGCTTCTTAAGCTTTGTGCACGTAACACTAACAGAAAAATTAATGAGGTGTCTATTTAGTCGGGAAATTGGTATTAATAAAGTAGGTAAAACAATAAAACGATCTTGGAAAAAAATTTAAAAGGCATATATTCTGCGCTGAATATATTTTTTTAAATTTAATAATTTGGATTAAAGATGTAAATAATATTTAAAAAGCCCAATGCACAAATATTAATTGTTTGATTTTATATGCTTTTGTTTAAAATTTGTTCTTATGTTGTTTTACAGCGTTTGAAATCGAATTATAGAGGTAAAATTGCATAAATAAAAACAAAAGAAGATATTAAATAACTATTCTTGTACGTTTGGCTTGTGCCTATAAAAACCGGCCCTATACCATGGCTAAAAATAGCAATAATTGCTCAGAAATGTATAAGAAAGTAAAAGCCGTCATTTATTCAATTTCTGGCTGTAACATCACTAAAAAATGTATAATTGGCACTTAAATCATATAAAAATCATCACCTCGAAATTAGTTAATTGGTGCCTAAAATCTTTAAATTTTGTCCATAAATCCTGGACCATGCGCAAAAAACCGTATCGTATGAAAAATCTTTGAACCAACGGCAAATTCTATGAGAAGTGTATCCCTCAAATAGATCCAACCAAATTAGTTGTTCTCCTAGGACATAATCTCAACGAAATCTGTTGTGAAAATATAATATTCTCGTGAAATTTTTGGTACTGGACCCAAAACTCAAAACCCAGAGCCCATCGCTACCTCCACATTTTCTTCGTTGGCAAATGTTTGTCAATTTGGATTTCGTTTTATTGCTTGTATGTGTACATATGTATGCCCCTCTGTGTGTGTGTGTGGGTGTGTGGGTGTATCGGTGGTGCGTGGGCGTTGGTCCTTGGGTGGGTTTTTGGGGAGTCAACATGGAGTGGGTCTCCGTCTCCATCTCCGTCACCGTCTCCCCAGCCCGGAGTCGGTTTTCACTTGTTTGTATAAATTATGCATGTTTTGTGGGTTTTATGCGTTGAATTCGCATTGATTTCTTTGGATTGCCGTTGGAATCAATGGACCCCGCCCGTTGGGTGGAGAGAGTCGGCCCTCCCATGCATTTTATGATGTGTAAAATTGAACGGGAATTGTGCAGATGGAACAAAATGTTGTAGAGTCGTAAAAATTCTTATGGCAAAATAGGTAGCAGACGATGGCATGTGTGGGTTGGAGGGCTTGTCGTAAAATGTAACAAAAATTGTTAAGGTACAGCAAAGATAATGAAATGTATATGGAGCATCACTCCACAGGGATATATGTATCTTTTGTGCTCCAAAGTCTTGGAATATCATAATTATCACAACAATATTTATTTTGGAGCTCTTCCAGCTTTTAGAGGAGATCGAGTCTCCAAGAAACTCTTGCACTTTGTGGTCAGAGATCGTTGGAACCCCCCAAAGAACAGTTTTCTGCCATTTCTCGACCCAAAGAAACCCCAGTTCCTGCAATCTAGGTGGCCAATGATGGCATAAGAGTCGAATTCCAGTGAATGAGGGCAGAGCAGTCTTGTTATCTATCGTTTTTGAATATTCCGCTCATCCGAAAGTACTGATTGGTGCCATGGCTGTCCCCATTGTCATGCGCTTGAATTCTTGTGAACCCACTCTCTGCAGTTACTTCGCAGAGAGCTTTACCCCTTTAACCACTTCAGAGTCTTGGCATCGGTGTAATGAGTGAGTTTCTCGAGAGTTTCTCCCACCGAAGAGCAGGAAATTCCACTTATTGCTCAATCTGCAGGCCATTACGCTGCACGACCGTAAAAGCCAGAAAAGCCTTCAATCCCAATCAACCGATTGAGGGTTCGGATAGCGGACGGAAACGGAAGGGTGATTGCCAGTCAGTGCCCCAAGGCACTTCGCGGCCATTTTTCATTGGCTACCAAATGGAGCTACATTTTTCTTAAGGTTTTTCCTTCGCAATACATTTTTTATGACAGAGCACGTGTGTGGACGGGGGGAGGCGGGGCTGGAGATGTGGGATGGATGGCTATTGTGGGTGCCGTGTGGGTGCTGTTTGAGGACCTCCGCCAACAGTCGCGTGCCTGTTCGTTTCGTGACAGGTTTGTTTTGTTCCTTGATAAATTACCTTTTCACTTGTCGCTCTATATAAAATTATTTCCCTTTATCTTTAACTTGCCTTCATTTCCCTCAGCTTTTTGTTTCATTTTGTTCCATCTTAGTTTTCTTCTTGGATTGCTCGTTCCATTTTCTTGTTGGCGGCTGCCTATGAAATTTTGATTTTCACGGCAAATGCGGCCAAGTTCAGGCGGTGGAGGACCCACACAAGTGGGAACAATTCTACTTTGAAATTGGGTTCTCGAGACGCTCAAGATCTCATTGGACCCGTATTATTATGTACTCTGAGCAGAGGCTTACCACAGGCCAGAGACTCCCCCCCGCCGTGCAGTAGTTTTTCTGTTTTCCTTGAGGGAAAAAATACATTTGTGGCAGTGGGAGGTATGATGGACTTGTGGGTTACCCTAGAGTTAGACAATGGAATCGAAGATGTTGAATATTGGATTTTTAAGGAACTATATTCTTTTTTTATGAATTTTGTAGACTGAAGATATTAATGAATCGAAATAAGTATTGTAGAAATGGCAGACCTTAATGGATATTTAGCAAAATAAATACCAATCAGCACTTTCGGATGAGCGGAATTTAATTTGTTTAATATTTGGCTCTACAAAGGAGATTTCCCTTGAAATACTTTTTCATTTCACTTTCACCTTAACAAATACTGCCTCCTCTTGCTATATAGTGGGGGATCCTTCAATGGCTCTGGCCCTGTTGTTGCCTTCGCCTTTTTTCCGCGACAAGCTCATAATCATCAGAGTTTCCCCCGGCAATCGCCTCCTCCTCCACCTCCACCTCCGACGATGCCAGCTTTTGTCGTCTTGCCATGGCCCCTATATCATTATGTGCAGCAGCCTGTAGTAGTATTATTATATTCCTTTCATACGATTGTCGACTGGGGGTCGCCTCTTCTATACACATTTTGTTTTTGTGTCAACAGCAGCAGCAGCGGCAGCATCGGGCACAACCACAGGAGTCTAGTCTCCTGCAAGTGCAAGGATAACAAGGCAAACGAGATATTTTTCCTTGTATACGGAAAAGATGTGCCTGTAAGGCGTGAAATATGCCAGGGAACAGAATATTTATTTAAGTTTTCTACACAACAAATTTAAAACTGGAATGGCTTCCCCCAACGACTATCCATATCCATGCGCCACTGGATTTTGTGGCAGTCATCATTTTTTGTATTTTAGAAATGTGGCAGCATCTGTTTCAATATGGAGAGGATAATCCACCGGCCCCCAACCACATGGAATCCCGTGAAATGTTTGCCATTTATGATTTATGCTGGCATTCGTTGGGAATTTTCTGTATTGACTCGACGCAAAATGCATCGGCATTCGCATTCGCATTCGCTTGGGAGCTTGGGGCACCTTTCCCTTTTACGGGGATTCGCATTATTTATGGCAGCTTTTGGCCCGCGGAAATTTACGCGCTTTCTGCCACAATATGGAAATGCATTCTGGCTGTCTGTTTGTCTTTCGGGGTTGTCCTGTCCACATAGCAAACAGGAAACCATCGTCTCGATATCATGAATGCTAATTTGTTGTATCATCGGTTAGGTGTTGTTTTTGTTTGATTTGGTTTAGTTTGCGGTAAAAATCGGAATAAAGTGCCAATTTTAATTAATAAAGTTTTCAAAATGTACGAGAATGGGCATATTATAAGGTCCTGAGGGCATTGGGTGCTCATTTAATGGAATGGTAAATTGTTTGAACTGTTTTTCATCAAAGTTTGTAACTAAAGTTGTGAAAAGTCAGGGATAAAGGGAGGAGACAGCAGCAGGATGCTGAGGGAAAGCTCATAAATTAATAAGTGTAATTTATAGGAAAACTACAAGACCGAAAAAATGGTCTAAAGAATCGAAGAAACCCGTCGTCCCGTTGTGGGAAAGTGTCACAAAAAGCTATACTAGCATCCTAAATTTTCAGATCCTTCAGGATCCTTTCCGATGAGCAAACCGTTCATTAGCTCTGGTGGTGACTCCTCTTCAGCTAGTTTCACTTTTCCATAAACGCAACACATACCAACTGAATCATGTTTAAATTTGAGCGCATAACAGTGGGGAAATTCGTTGTCCAAGCATCACTTTCGGATGAGCGGAATATTCAGTATTCGACTCGTACTCGAATGTGAGACGAAAAAATGAGATATTCCGGCATATATTAGTTTTAGAGCATTATAGACGAATAAATTGTGGAAGTTGAGTATCTAAAAGTCGTACGAGTTCATTAGAAATATTGCCTAAAGCATTCATTGCTCTTTCTGATTTTAAGATACATATGTATCTTTCGAGCCGCCGAATACTTCAGTAACATATTAGATAATTAAATACTGCAGATATATACAACACTATCCCTCTTTCGTAATGAAATAATTAACATTCAGCCTTGAAATGAATTCCCAACAAAAAATGCCATACATATGTATGTATATTTGAGTAGAAGGGGAAATGGGAAAAAGTTTCTTTCTGCAAATAAATTATCCTACATTTTTAATCCTAATTAGTTTTTTTTTTTTTTTTTTGCTAAAACTCAACTCGGAATGAAATTCGAGTGAATTAAAACTAAATGAAATGTGTCCCTGGAATGGAATCCTTTGCCATTGAAGTGCGTCCCACCGCCTACTTAACCCTCATCAGAGTCATTATCCTTGCATATTTGGTGGGCGTCACATGTGCCCCGTGCCCCGTGCCCCATGCATCGTGC